TCTGACCTCCTGCAACACCAGTGACATTGGGAGAGGAGAGAGGAGAGGAGGAGAGAGCTGGGGTGGGAGGGGGGTAAATTAACTCATAATTCTGACCTTTTGTCTCTTTTGAGACCCAGGTGTTTATATGCTTCCTGGACTTCTCTGTAGCTTTGGCAAAGGACAGCCGCTCCAGCTTCGAATGGTAGAACTGAAGACAGGACTCCTTAAATGTCTTTGGAGAGAAAAGTGTTCAGTGAGGCCATGTTGCTAAATAAAAAATGTCAGTGAGCTTCAAAACATTCTGAATGCTGGATATATATATGTATTTTTTTTTAATTAAAAAGAACAGGAATATCTCTTAAACCTAATGAAATTTTAAGCTACTAGTTGATAAAATATTGAGGTTTGTAAGGAGGTATGTCCTGTTCCCTGAGTAACCACAGATGAATAATGAAATGCAATAAAATTTTAGATGTGGCATAATTTGAAATAATACAAGGTATGATTATAGAATTTGGGTCTTTATAAAAAATAAAGTTTGCCATGTATTTCTCAAGTTATCTAGGGTTCTGTTCCTTTTTTTTTTTTTTTTGGAGTCCTGGGGATTGAGCCCAGGGCCTTCAGCATGCTAGGCAAATGCTCCATCAAGCAGCTATGTCCCAAGACCTTTTTCCATTTTATTTTTAAGACAAGGGTCCTATTGAGGCCAAGCTGTTCTCAATCTCACCAGCCTCCTGCCTCAGGCTCCCAAGTGTGCCATCCTGCCTGGTCTCTAGGGTCTCTCTTCTGGGTCGTATATCACCAGGTATTTTAAATACAACTTTTATTGTTCTGCTGACTCAACTTACTGAGAGGAAATCACAGGTCTTCTCTCCAAAGAGCCTGTTGGCTATTCTAAGAAAGTACTTTGAGTTAGGCTTAATCACTTGGATGAGAAGCATCTGGAAGCCCTTATGGATGTCTTCCTCTGTGTTTAAAGACATTGCCTGTGAAGGAAAGCAAGAAAACTCTGAATTTTGGTCTCAATAAGAATTTGCAAGCAATTTTTTTTTCTCAAATATTCCATAAAATTCATCCTTTGATGGGAAGTTGTTCACATTGAGAAGTGACACTGGTGGGGTGTGTGGAGATAAGGGCCAGGAAAATGGTGAGTAAAAGATACGGGTTTTGCACCTGCATGGAGCTCGCTGCATAGTTTATAGATGAGCATTAGGAAAAAATTAAAAGGGGGCAAGAGAGGTTCAGAAAAGGGACTATTCTTAAGTCTTTCATCCCAGGGAGAGCATAAATGTGTCAGAAATAGAGAAAAACTAGCCTCTATAATTTATTGTACAAAAAAATATGCGGTTAAAAACACAAAAATCCAAAAAAAAAAAAATTGGACAGGTTATAACAATAATCTTTGAAAAGAAATGAAAGTGTAAAATAATTGTTATGATTAATAAGAACAGAATTCCTTTTTTTACAGTTTTATTTATTTATTTATTTGTATTTTAAAAGATTTATTTATTTATTGCTGTGCTGGGAATTGAATCCAGGACCTTACCCATGCCAGGCAATTGCTCTACCACTGAACCAATCCCCAGCTAGAATACATGAGTTCTTCAACAGTACTCTTGAGAGATGATATAAGATTCTTTAATACTTCAAAACAATTGTCACATACTAGGCCATGAAAAGTTTCAATTGACTCTAAAATTACAAATTACACAGTTGACACAGTTTATATTCAAGGAGCTCAATGTAGTAAACTTAAAGTTAATAGCACTACAAATAAAATACCAACAATGTGGAATTTCAACCTACTAAGTAATTATTGAAAACACTTTCTAAAGAAATAACTTCTCTATGTAACAGCCAAATAACAAGTTGTTTATTCTAAATAAGTAATTCTCTTCTAAATAAATGATTCTAAAGAGTTATTTAAGTTACTATTCTAAATATATGACAGATGATTTAGAAAATAATCAAAATAAATATTACATTACCAGACCAAAGATAGTAAAAACAGCATTGTTTTCATATTACTAAGGAAATAATGAAATAACAAAACTTCCAACTCATGATGTTAGAAAAGGTGCTGAAAAATTTCCCCTAAGTAATTTAGGGGAAAATATAAAATAGATAATGAGCCTAAGAACTGGTTCTTTCAAAGAAAGCACACGTATCCACATAAAATAGACATCAGCTATTGAAAAAGATAAAGAAAAAAATTTTAAAAATTACCCACAAGGAAAGTTATAAATGAAAAAGAAATTACACAGAAATGGATACAGAGGAAATGTTAAAATAATGAAAACTAGATCATCAAAGTGTAAATTATGAATCACCACATAAAAGCCCAGAGATACGAACATGGAGAAAGCTTGGTCAATGGGCATTGAGTTACCACTAGGAACAAGAGGTTCTGGTAGCTGAAGTACAGTAGGTGACTATAAGTGAGAAGAATGTGTTATGAAATTAAAAGAAAGAATGTTCTATGCTTTCACCTCAAAGAAATGATAAGCATTTGAGGTAATAGATCTGCTTACCTTGGTTTGAACATTACACAATGTTAAAACATCACATAGTTACCCCACAAATGTGTAAAATTTTCATGTTTCTGTGTATCATTTAAAAATACATTTTAATTTTAAAAATCCGCCCTCCCCAAAAGTGTAAACATACAAAGAAGAAACAATGAAAGATAAAATTTTTAAATGGCTTAGATGATCTTTGGAAATATTTTTTTTTCTAATATTCAACAGCTATATTTCTCATATACGACCTACACACTGCCTTATAGAAAAAGATAAAAAGCAATTAAATTCATTTAATAAAGTTTATAGATTATTGAGAAGAAAATCTGTCAAGAAACAGAACAAATGCCACTGAATTGTAGGTTTAAAAATTATTTAGGTGGCAAATTATGTGTGTATTTTATCACAATTGAAAACTGAAAACTGAAAGCGATTTGACCTGAGACTGTGATATCACTATTATAGTAACAGCTAATTCATGTTGAACATTTGCTTTAGATGAATCATCTCAATGAATCCTCCCATTAATTGAAGAATATTTGTGAACATGAAGATACCATTGATCATCAAGTGTAAAATTTAAAGCCAAAAAGAGGACATGAAACTAGAAGAAAATACTTCACATTCTCAGATGGCTGTCTCCTCAGAGTGGGTCCTCAGGGACTTTTTCTTTTCTAGTTTTCTTTTTTAAGACTTTCATAATGGTGGCAAGGATGTGTGTGTGGGGGAAGGTACACTCATATATTACTGGCGGGACTGCAAATTGGTGCAACCACTCTGGAAAGCAGTATGTAGATTCCTCAGAAAACTTGGAATGGAACCACCATTTGATCCAGTTATCCCACTCCTTGGTCTCTACCCAGTCATTCCACTCCATGGTCTATACCCAAAGCACTTAAAGTCAGCATACTACAGTGATGCAGCCACATCAATGTTTAAAACAGTCCAATTCACCATAGTTGAGCTATGAAACCAACCTAGATGGCATTCGACAGATGAATGGATAAAGAAAAGGTGGTATATATACACAATGGAATATTACTCAGCCATAGAAAAGAATGATTTTATGATTATTGCCAGTAAATGGATGGATCTGGAGATTACCATGCTAAGTGAAATAAACCAATCACCAAAAAATAAAGGCTAAATGTTCTCTCTGATATGTGGATGCTCACACACAATGATGGGGTGGAGGGAAGAATAGAAGTTCAGTGGAGTAGACAAAGAGGAATGAAGGGAAGGGAGAAGGGATGGGAATAGGAATGACAGGAGGATAAATTGGATATAAATATCCTATGTTCATATACGAATACACCACCAGTGAAACCTCAAATCATTTACAACCACAAGAATGGGATCCCCGTTACAATAAGTTATACTCCATGTACGTATATTATGTCAAAATACACTCTACAGTCTTGTATGTCCACAAAGAACAAATAATAAAAAGAAAAAAAGATTTTTATAATGGCTGTTTACCACTTATAATACAAAGGAAAACCAAGAACCTTTAAGAAGATTTCTGCAGCCTTACAGTGGCCCTGCTGGTTATAAGCAGCTTCGTGTCACGAGCACTTGGTTATTATTCAGCTGAACCCTGGAGGCATGTGGATCTCCTTTTTGTAATAAACACTACATCATGGTTTTCTATAGTCACCCTCCTGTGCAGTGGCCACCAGAACATCCTGCTCCTATCCTACTGTGACTTAATACCCATTGACCATCGGTTCTTATTTCTTCCCTTTCATTTGGCAATTCCTAATTCACACTTTGTTGAGAAGCGTCTCTCAGTGCATGTAAAACCTAGAAAAAGATCCCAAGACATAAGCAGAGAGAACTTCCTCTATGCATAAACCTTCACTCCTTCATCAGAACAGCGGAATTATTAAAATGAGCAGTCATTACTGAAAAGGGCCCTCCAGGAAACAGAAAGTCACACTGCGTCATCAGCGCCCAAAAGTGTGAGCAAGGGTAGAGCTCAACAATGACACAAGCTTTTAGACTTTTTCTCAGGCACCTGTGTCTTACTACCCCCATCCCAACCCCCCATCCCCCCAACCCCACCAGGCAAAACCTTCAGAGGCAGGAACTGGTTCTTAATCATTTCCAGATGTTCACTGAATGCTTCCTTCAACTAAACTACTCCTGTTTTCATGGTCTGTGCATGTGATTCAGTGCATGCTAGGCGCATGCTTTACCACAGAGCTACTCCCCCAGCTCTGAGCTTCATTTTCTAAATAAACTGCCAGGCAAAGTTCTGAGAAAGTTCTGAGAAATTCTTCAGATTATTAATTGGGGAAATTATTCATGCCTGCCGACAAAAATAAAAATGTCACTGGAGGAGACTTCTCGTCTCTCTCCCCTCCTTCCTCTGCACCCCCTCCCTGAAATGGACCAGGCTCACCCCTCCTTCCTCACCAGTTCTGGAAAAACTGAAGGAAGAGACAGGAGACAACCCTTGCAGACTAGTTCCTCCTGCTGGGTGACAGGAAAGCTTACCTGAGCCATCTGGACCTTGGTGTTGCCCTTTGCCCCCAGGAGGACCATGGCCAGGGCAGAGGAGATGCTCAGGGGAGAAAAAAACACATTTTGTGAAGGTCTGTCTTGACACAGCGTCTTCAAAACCTGGATGGCAAAGGTGCCATTTGCTTTTGAAAGAGAATCCATGATCCAGGGTCTGGGGGCAAAGAAGACAGAGAAACACAATGAAATGGGGCTGAGGACACTGTGTGTGCTCTCTGCTTGGCTTTCATTTATCTTATGAATTCAGAAACTTCGATTATTAGTGCCAGCAACAGACATGGGAGTAGATTATGCACGTGAGGAAGGAGCTGGTCCCTGTAGAACAGCACACTGGCAAGCAAGGGAGAGCAGAAAAGCATGCAGGAAGAACAGCAGGTGACAGGTCAAAGCAAGAGCAGGGAGTGGTAGGTGTGAAGCCAGAGGAGGTGGAGTGAAAACACCAGTGGGCAGCTCTAAGCAGTAAGACCCTCCCTCACCAGGGGCTGGCCTTAAATCTTGGGAAACCTCCCTGACTCCTTCCCATTTCTTCAAGGACCCCCCAAACCTATTGTCCAGGCCTGCCTTCAGACCCCTCCCAAATCTTTCTACCCCTTTACACATCTCCAGCCCCTGTGACCCTGTGCCTAGTCCAGACCACCTGGCTCCTCTCCAGAGCCTCTGACCTCCCTGCCCCTGAGCTCTCTCTCCATTGCAATAGCCCCTGTTCACTAAAATGCAATTCAAGTGGGCTGGGGAGCCTCAGAACATGGGCTCAGAATGTCAGGACCCCAGATGGACAGACACACAGCATCCTGAGAGAGAAGTGCTCTCTTGATCCTATGAGCTCTCCATTAAAACTCCAGTGACCCTAGGGATAAGCTCAAAAATGCCTTTTCTAAATGGCTTCCCATCTGCCTGGCCCCATCCCCTGCTCCAGCCTCCTACCTCTCCCAGCCTCCACCTCTACCCTCTCTGATCCCCCCATCACCTCTGAGCCTTGGCAAACATTGATAACCAACTTAAAAGGCTCCCTACACCATCCCTGTCACCAGGCTCAAATCACTCACCTTTCCTTCCTAGGCTCAGCACCAGGAGACCTCTGATGTCTATTCTAGATCTCCCTCCTCCCTGACTCTGACTCATCACTCCTTATTGTAGTTCCTTGCCTCATCCATTGTTGGACCCCCAAGACTGGCTGCTCTCTGCAGGAAAGGCGCCTGGCATCCTGAGTCTAAGCACCTGGAAGTATGCTCAGGAAACAGCAAGAGCTCCATCGATTAGGGGGAAAATCTCAGATAAATAAAGGGTGCTAGGATTTTGAACTGGAGACTGGGGATTTTAAAAGTACAGAGAAACAGATATTTTAGTACATGAAATGCAAAAAAAAAAGTATTATATGAATCTGGAAAAGGAATTGCTGTTTCACTTATTTTTGTAATTTTCTAAAAATGAAAGCTACACATCTCCAAATCAAGATGACAATAAATTGATTTCCCAATAATTTCAGGAAAAAAAAAAAGGCACAGAGAAGAGGTAAGGCAGAAGTCAGGCTGTGACTCCCTGAGGAGAGAGGAGAGGTGAGAAAATAAGGCCAGTAGGTGGGAGCTGTGCTGAGGCATGAACACCCACCATGGTGAGGTCCAGGGCCAGCAGGGTCAGGCAAGAGGCAAGCAGAGAAGCCAGGAGTCTGTGCAGTGACTTTGTCTTGTTGCAGTCCTGCTGCCCTTCTCTGGGACCTGCTCTAAGCAAGGTGACAGCTGTGATTGCCCAATAAGCTATTTCTGTAAACCCAGAGATGGTACTGCCTTCTGGGGTTCTCTTGTTTACTCTGCTCAATCCCCTGTCCTGAGATCCCACCTTCCAGGGGTGGCCTCAGGTTTCCAAAACTTGTCTCCCCTGGTCCCCTGTCCTCACTACCAGCCTCAGCACTGCAGCTGCCTCAGGTCTCAGTGCTGCTAGCCTGGTGCAGACTTCCAAAGTCAGGACAAGGCGCCTGCAGCTGTGTGTCTCTCAGGTTCAGTTGGGAACTCAGCAGGAGGAGAGACCATTTATCCTTCCGGTTTTCCTGCGGGAGTTTCTGACTTCCAATCTGCAGCTCCAGAGAAGGCGCCCCGGATGACCTGGGTGAAGGCCAGGCTAGGATCTTCTCCTTGCCCAGGGATGGGTCTCTAACGCCCCTGGCCCTTCTGTCACTCACCGGTACGCACTGGAACACCACGCCAGACGCCAGGAGTTGGGGCTGGAGTTGCGCACTTCATGCTCTTTACAAGATTCTGAAACCGAAAGTGCTCTGAGCCCGACGACAAAAGGCTGACTGTCAGCAAGGCTGACTGCAAGGGGCATTGGCTGGGAAAACACAACTGGGGCTGGGCCAGGGCAGAGAACCTAGAACTCTGGGCTTTCCTGCTTCAGAAAGCAAAGGCAGAATGGCAGGCTGGGTTTTTAGGGGAGGAAAGTCCGATAAGTGTATCGTGAGCCGCCTCCCTGACACGAAGGAGGGATTCCCCCGGATGGAGTGTGTCTGTTCCCCTTATAGGTGGTTGGTGATGGGAATGGTAGGGAGGGTCCTCAGAAACTAAGAGCAGGACGACCCTTATGATTCAGTTACACCGCTCTTCTCCGTGTAGGAGAAAACAGTGAAATTGTTATAAACCAAATCTTGAGTATAAATCTTTGATATCCGAAGAAGAAGAATCACTTGACTTTTTAAAATATTTGGATGCAAAGAAAGAAAATTCCCAAATTACCTGTAAGCCTGATACAAAGACCACAGAAAAGCTATCATTTTGTCAACAGAAGTTTGGAAAGCTTGTAGAAACCAAATCTTTTCCTGAACAGAATTACAGTGCTGGGTATCTAAATGTCGTGAGATGTTTTTTTGAAAAACAAAACAAAACAAACAAACAAACAAAAACAAAACACACACATGGTACAGGAAAAGGTATCTTCTTGAATAAAAGCAGGAAAACAAAGTTATACATACAGCTTTTACCCTATGAAAGGAAAATCTGGAGATGTTTGAAGTGGTAGATTTTTCAGCTATTAAACTTGGAGTGATTCCTTCGGATTTTAGTTATGCAGGCCTTAAAGACAAGAAAACTGTCACCTGTTGAGCAGTGGTTGTAGAAAACTGACTTCAGGGAGGTTGACAAATATTGGAAAAAAAATTGAAAAGAATGAATGTCCCTTAGACTTGGACAGCTCAAACGGAATCACTTTGATATTGTCATCAGAAATTTACAAAATCACATAAATGATTCTGGAAATCTGAAAAAGAGAATTTTGAAGGCAATAGAAAATGTTAATAATCAAAATTTTGTGACTTCCTATGGACCACAGAGATGTGGAAAGGGAAGGAATGTTCATACAGTCCAAATTGGATTGGCTCTGATGAAGAGTGAAATAAGATTACAGTGTAGAAGACCATAAAATTATTTCTTAAACAAGAAGACATGGATAATCTTATAAATAAAGCAAAGAAATAATGATAACATAATATCCAATTTTTTGTTTTGAGATTTATTTATTGACAAATTATAGAATGCCAACAACACTTTCAGTGTTTATTGAGAATTAAATAATAGTTTTCAGGTAGTAAAATTTTTTTATTAGAAAAAATGTTTAAACTTTACTTTATAACATAAGTTATATCCTATAAATGTAATTAGAAAATGAGTTATATAAATTACTAAAATCCTAGTTTTCTTGTAATGATGAGTAGCTATTAGAAAAAATGAAAGGAATGAAATTTGCTCTTAATTTTCTTTGCCTCTAGATGGCACTGTAATCTTAGACATTTATTTATTTAGTAAATACTTCAGCCCGTGCATGAAGAAAGGATCGCTAAATTTATTTCAAGCCATTATAAAGTATATTCAGATATTATTCATGTGAGAAATAATTTATGTACCAATAATATTTGCCTTGATAATTTTTGTTCTGAAGTTTAGGGACTTTGTTTTGGACCAACTAATTAACCAGTCACCCAGGTTTTTAAACTTTTTATGGGGTTCAGATCTTCATAAGCACAACCACTGGTTTAGTTTTAGTTTCCAAGGTTTATTGAAAAATGAATAATAGTTCTCCTGGATTAGTAAAAGGAAACAACTTTTAATTCTTTTTATCAAGATAAAAACACCTGGATGTTTTATCAGTTGTAATAAAGTAAAGGTTACCTGTAACTTTTGAGCCAACTGTCATGTACTGAGTGTTATGCCAGTGTCTCTCATTTTATCCTTCCACCCACCCCATGGGGAGGAAGCATCTGCCACCATCTTTCTGTGGATTAAAAACATATCTGAGTGCTTTACTGATGTATTTAAGGTCAAAGAAGATAGTATATAATTGAATTTGATTATGTTTTCTAGATCAGTACTAATTCATCTACCCAATATTTGCCTTCTGAAGACAATTTTTTTAGATAATAAGTTCATGTCTGCCAGCTTACTATTGCCTGCTACTAGTTAATAGGCATATTGGAGTATGTCTTGAGAGAAACAAGATTCCTTTTGAGATTCTGTGACTAAAATAGACGTAAAAGAGATCCTTCAGGAAGTTTCCAAATCATTTTGCAATATTTTGCAAAATATGTTGGGATTTGTATTGTAATGAAGTTCAAAATAATTATTGGTCCTAGGAAATTATTTTAGATGAAAAACCTAGCCCAATGTTAAATGTCACTGGAAAAGCCCAGTGAGAAATTTGCTGAGTTCTCTTTTAGTCATCTCATCAATCTTTCTGTTTAAAGCTGATGATGCTAATTTGCATATATTAGTAATATGTGCTGATTTACTCTGTTAGGAGAAGCAGCTAGGATCTCATACTCAGGCATATCAGTAGACAACAGTATCTAACTCGAGATCACTTTGTTTTATTGAATGTATTTTTCCACTTACTGTGTATTTATGGCAAATGATTTTGGTGTCCAGTCTATTTGATAATACTGTATTTCCTTTAAAACTAAATTTAATTTTAAAAAGGAAAAATTAATTGAAATGTATTCAGTACATAAAAGTGAAAATATAGCAGTAATTATGACAGTAATATGAGAACCATTAAAGGTTTTTTTGTTCCTTTTTTTAAATTTATTTTTTATTAGTTCTAATCAGTTATACATGACAGCAGAAAGCTTTTCAATTCATTGTACACAAATGGAGCACAACTTTTCATTTCTCTCTACACGATGTAGAGTAGATTCTCATCGTGTAGACTACATAATGTAGAGTCACACCACATGTTCAGTCATACATTACCTAGGGTAATGATGTTTCTCTCATTCCACCTTCTTTCCTACCCCCTATGCCTCCTCCGCTTCCTCCCTTTCCTTGGCCCAATCAGAGGTAGTAGTGATCATATATGCATATCCAAATTCCTTCATTCTCCCCCCACCCCACCCTCCATTATGGATCAGCATCCACTTATCAGAGAGAATATTTGGCCTTTGTTTTGTTGGGACTGGCTTACTTCACTTAGCATGATATTCTCCAACTTCATCCATTTACCTGCAAAAGCCATAATTTTATTGTCTTTTAATGCTGAGCAATATTCAATTTTGTATATATACCACATTTCCTTATCCATTCATCTAATGAAGGGCATCTAAGTTGTTTCCACAGTTTAGCTATTATGAATTGAGCTGCTGTAAACATTGACATGGCTGTGTCACTGGAGTATGCTGTTTTAAAGTCCTTTGGGTATAAACTGAGGAGTGGGATAGCTGGGTCAAATAGCGGTTCCATTCTAAGTTTTCTGAGGAATCTCCATATTGCTTTCCAGATTGGCTGCACCAATTTGCAGTCCCACCAGCAATGTATGAGTGTACCTTTTCACTCACATCCTCTCCAACACTTATTGTTGTTTGTATTCTTGATAACTGCCATTCTGACTGGAGTAAGATGAAATCTTGGAGTAGTTTTAACTTGCATTTCTCAATTACTAGAGATATTGAATTTTTTAAATTTATTTGTTGATCAATTGTGTATCTTCTTCTGAGAGATGTCTATTCAGATACTTGGCCAATTATTAATTGGACTATTTGTGTTTTTTTTTTTTTTGGTGTGTGTGTGTTTAGCTTTTTGAGTTCTTTATATACCCTAGAGATTAGTGCTCTATCTGATGTGTAAGTGGTAAAAATTTGCTCCCAAATTCACCTAATTGTTTCTTTTGCTGAGAAGAAGCTTTTTGGTTTGAATCCATCCCATTTATTGATTCTTGATTTTATTTCTTGTGCTTTAGGAGTCTTGTTAAGGAAGTCAAGGCCTAATCTAACAAGATAAAAATTTGGGCCTACTTTTTCCTCTGTTAGGCACAGGGTCTCTGGTCTAATTCCTAGGTTCTTGATCCATTTTGAGTTGAGTTTTGTGCATGGTGAGAGATAGTGGTTTAGTTTCATTTTGATGTATATGGATTTCCCAGCACCATTTGTTGAGGAGGCTATCTTTTCTGCAATGTATGTTTTTGGTGCCTTTGTCTAGTATCATATAAATGTATTTATGTGGGTTTGTCTTGTCTTCTATTCTGTACCATTGGTCTACATGTCTATTTTGGTGCCAATACAATGCTGTTTTCTCTGTAGTATAGTTTCAAGTCGGGTATTGTGATGCCTCCTGCTTCACTCTTCTTGCTAAGGATTGCTCTGGCCATCCTGCATTTCTTTTTTTTTCCAAATGAATTCATGCTTGCTTTTCCTATTTTTATAAGGAATAACGTTGGGATTTTAATTGGAATCATATTGAATCTGTATAGGGCTTTGAGTAGTGGCCATTTTGACAATATTAATTCTACTTATCCAAGAGCATGGGAGATCTTTCCATATTCTAAGGTCTTCTTCTATTTCTTCTTTAGTGGAGAATGATTAAAGTTTAAGAAATACTGGTGTAGTTGAGAATCCTTGAACTCAGAAACAGATGCCAACATTGCTTTGGTAAGTGACTTTAGTAACCCACTGAATTTTTCTTTGTTAAGTTTCCATTTTGTCAGTAACAGGTAATGTTATGTAAAGCAAATTATGAAAAATATACAAATTCAAGATACTATGAACAGAGGTAGTAGTGATCATATATGCATATATACTATGAATAGAGGTAGTAGTGATCATCTTAACATATTGCTAATAAAGAATTTATTTTAAAAAATCTTGTGAAAAACTAAGAATAGTGTCTGGCACTTAGTAAATTCTCAGTAAATTTCAGCAAGTGTTCTTATAGTTAATAATACCTTTCTGTGCTCTCTTATAAAATTCACAGAATAAAGTATTTAATGACTTTCCATTGGCAGAAACATAAGAGGAAACAAGGAGCACACTAGACACGTGGCCAAACCAGCTTTTATATCAGACCCACTCTCAAGAGAATCCATGGACCCAGAATTGTCTTGGTTTGAATGGAATAATGATTTTGTTCATTAGGTTGGAACCTAATGAACCTAGTAAAAGTCTCACCAGGGCCCAT